TCTAATAATATGATTTGTATGAGAGTGCATCAGTGGAGAATATTCAAAGAGGACTTTTGTTTTCTTTGCAAGTCCTGCTTCCTACAACATCAACCTCATTGAGAAGGATTAGATTATTTCTAAGAACCTTGCCAACTGCACATCATGAAAAGGCACTCTAGTAATGACAGCTGTCAAACAAAAGGAAAAGGGTATGATGAATAAAAGAGAACCCTCAAATTCTTACATTCTTCCTTGCGTTGTGTGGTAACACACATACACACGTGTTCAAACGACTGAGTGGTACTTAGCATTATTTTTGTAGAAGCCTAGTAGACTGTGTCAAAGAAGGTGATTTGCATCATGGGAATTGCAGATGGACCTTTTCATCAGAAAGTTGTGCTGAAATGAATTTAGAAAACAAAACTTTATTATATCCTTCACTGCCTATATATCCAAATAACTATGGCCTAAAAACTATTATGATATTTTGACAAATTGATTCCTTAATAAAAGTATGAGATCATAAATATATATACTCCAGTGAGAATATACTCCAGTGAGAATATTTTCAATAGGGTCTCCGAGTTGTTTTCAAAGCTTATTATTTAATGATATGACATTATTTCTGTGCACATTTTTTTATTTCCTGTCCCAAGCCTCAGTGGAGACCTGATGCGTTTCAGTACAAATGTGTTTCACATCTACTATTGGTACCAGGAGTGTCATGATACTCTGTTTGTCATTGTTCCAGATCATTTCAGTAGACACATATTTTTAACAGAATATATATCATGAATTCTTATTGATGTTTTCAATTGAGCTTTGAGATTGCATGGCTTTATTTAAGCATTTGATGTTATATTTTAAATTGCTTTCATCATATACTGAAAATCTTGATTCCAATATCATTAACATCATTACTTAATTTCATTGTCATATCATGTGTATATACATAATTAATAATAATATGATTACTGAACAAGTTAATATTTGACTTGTCATTGTTTGTTCTTGGGATATATCCTACTATGTATTGACAGTCAACTTACTGTGTTTTTAATAAACTTAAAATAACATCTCTCAAGCCACCAATTCCATATGGAATTATGTTCATTAATTTTGATTTTGATTTTTTAGGGACCATTTCGTATTTTGATTTCATTTTATTTATATATATGTGAAATATTTACATGGTTTAGACATCAAATATACAAAGCAGGGTGTATTCTGGGAAGTCTTTTTTCTTTCCTGTCATCTTCTCTTTGTTTATTTTGCTTTATATCTCTAGGAGGGAAAACAATATTTACCTGCCTGTATTAAAATACACATAGTTGTACACTTAGAAATGGTGGCTACTATGTACATTGTTGTCCATGTTGCTTTTTCATTTACACTATATACAAAATCATTCCATTTGCATTACAAAAACGCATTTTTATCTTTTTAGATACAAATTTCCATTGTGTAGATTGATCATGTATTACCCATTCAGTACCCTCTAAATAAACATTGAGGTTTACAGATTTGTGATACCATAAAAGTGTTACAATGAATATGGGTATGTAAATCAATTCATATCCAAGTATATGTCTGATACAGACATCTAGAAGTGGAATTGCTAGGACAAGGGGAAAATGTATATGTAATATTTGTAGATATTTTCAGGTTTCTCTGTTATTGGTGTGCCACTTTACAAGTCCATTTCTAACTGCACAAATAAGGACTATATATATATTTATACAAGGTATAAAGAAAGAATACAATCTGTCAACAAACAATTATTTAAAATATATATTACCAGCCGGCGCTGTGGCTTACTTGGCTAATCCTGCGGCTTTCTTGGCTAATCCTGCACCTGCGGCACCAGCACCCGGGGTTCTAGTCCCCATTGGGGCGCCGGATTCTGTCCCGGTTGCTCCTCTTCCAGTCCAGCTCTCTGCTGTGGCCCAGGAGTACAGTGGAGGATGGTACAAGTGCTTGGGCCCTGCACCCGCATGGGAGACCAGGAAGAAGCACCTGGCTCCTGGCTTCAGATCGGTGCAGTGCGCCAGCCATAGCGGCCATTTGTGGGGTGAACCAATGGAAGGAAGACCTTGCTCTCTGTTTCTCTCTCTCTTACTGTCTAACTCTGCCTGTCAAATATATATATATATATATATAACCATTTTAATTTAAGCTAAAATTCCTATTGATAGCTATTTGTTTATATAATAATTCTGTGTTGATCAGGGCTTCTGCTATAAGATAATATTTGGTAAGTCCAATCAGGATTATAAAATGGAAAATTATCAATCTTCAAACACATTCTAACTTATTAAGGGCTATTATCTAGGAAGCAGGCTTTGCTTCCACATGATTCACATTTACGTTAGAAAACTTGACAGGAGTAGATATTATAAATTTGCTCATTGTCCACACTTCATACTAGACATTAGCCCCTTTTCATCATAATCCATAACCCATACATTTTGAACACATCTCAAAAAAGTCACTAACTTTTAGACCAGAGAATAATGAAATTTTTAATTGTCCTTTTAAATACTTCCATTTGCTTTTTAAGGGTGTCTTGGCATGGATTGATACATTCCTATGTCTTATAAGCTGTTGAGTGATTAGCAAAGAGATGACTGACAAAGCTCAAAGTAATAGTCCTATATCCTTAAACCGCTGCAACTGAATCTGCATTTCTTTATTGATATAATGGGGGAGAATTAATTTTAAAAGATGGTAACTATTGATTATTTAATGGAAGATGATAGTGCAGAGAAATACTGAAGCGAATCTATTCTCATTATCCAGTAGTGCAAATCACACTGTAATCCTCATTAATATTCAGTGTGCAGTGGGCAGGTTGGATATAGGCTACAAAACTGACCTAGGCACAGGCTCTAGTCAGTTATAAGAACATGTTAAAAACATACAAGAGGAACAGATTTCCCTGTGTTCGGATTGTCGGGAAGAGGACCGTAATATGCTGAATTCCACTCTGTCATCCCTGGAGCAACGATGGCCTCACGGAGATGTTTACTGGGCAAGGTGCAGTGATTAATGTTCTGGGAAGTCACTAGACGAAAAGACCTGATATTTTCCAGTCTGCTTCTCTGTTTCAGCACTTCTCTTCCTCTTCTCTTGCCACAAGCTGAAGGCCTTGTTCAGCAGGGGCGCCAAGTCAGCCCAAGGCGTTAATTGTGTCTAACAGGGCCACAGTCCTTGGGGGCCATACCCTATGTCACACGTCTATCAGGCTAAACCCTTCTCACATGTCAGGATCTTTTTATTTCAGCTCATTTAATAGGGAAGCTAGGAGCTTTAAGATAGCTTCTGGGAAGACATGGGTGCAGGAGTGCTTCTAAGGCCTGGGAGTCTTTGAAACGGACTTCAACTGTAAGGGGCTGTGAGTTCTGAAAGCACAAAACAAGATCTGACAGATTACTGACTTCTGTTCTGAATTTTTCAAATTACTAGGTTAATTTCAGTAGCACAAGCTTATTTTTAAAACATGATACATTTGGAATAAGAAATATGAAGCTTGAAGTATGTCCTTTTAGCTAAGACTATTCTTGAGATTTATGAATACACAAAAAACACAGGGGGTATTCACTTCCCAAAGAAAGTATAAAATTAAATATGGTGAAGAAATATCTTTTCTTGACTCAGTGGCCAAAGAATTTTGAAATTATATTTAAGAGAATCGTTTGCTTTGTAGCATATTAGAAGTTACTTATAATGATCTGCTTAGAATGAATTGTGTAAGAATAATAATTTAGCTTTATAAGCAAAAATATCCAAGGGGACAGTCTTCTATTAACATTTTGAGCTTTTCTCAAAACCAGTGAATGAAACTGACCCAGAATTCTCATTGTAATTCCATGTTAAGTGTGGTAAATTTCAGTTTTATTCACAATCATACACTGTGCATGCCTAAGTTGATTTCAATTTTTTTTTTTTTTTATTTTTTATTTTTTTTTTTTTTGACAGGCAGAGTGGACAGTGAGAGAGAGAGACAGAGAGAAAGGTCTTCCCTTGCCGTTGGTTCACCCTCCAATGGCCGCCGCTGCAGCCGGCGCACCGCGCTGATCCGATGGCAGGAGCCAGGATCCAGGTGCTTTTCCTGGTCTCCCATGGGGTGCAGGGCCCAAGCACCTGGGCCATCCTCCACTGCACTCCCTGGCCATAGCAGAGAGCTGGCCTGGAAGAGGGGCAACCGGGACAGAATCCGGCGCCCCGACCGGGACTAGAACCCGGTGTGCCGGCGCCGCAAGGTGGAGGATTAACCTATTGAGCCACGGCGCCGGCCCTTGATTTCAATTTTTAATGTCTAGTTGTGTGCATTCCCTACTGACAACCAGGAGAGAATCTCAGATTATCAAGTTAATAAGAGGAAATCCATTTGTGTTCATTATTTTTTTAACAAACTTGATCTTTATAAGGCATAATGGGGATTCTGCCCAGATGCTTGCTGTTTGTTTTGTTGTAGTTGTTATTCATTTTTTGGATGGTTGGTTAGGACTACCTGCATTAATTCCTGGAAATAAACCAGAGGTTATCTCATTTCAAGAAGGCTCAGATAAGAATTGTCTCTGAAAATTTCATTGGAAATTGATACGTGTACATTAAGCAATGACCAATTTAAATTCAATTTAAGAAAAACTTCCTGTAAAGTTAAGTTTACATAATAATAAAATAGCATCAATCTGTTAATTTGAACACTCACCATGATTTCTTTAACTAATAATACCAAAAGAAGAAGTAATACCACAAACTAAAACTAGTTAAACAAAGATTTTCTCCAAGGGGCTTAACACTGTAAAAGATATTTTATCAACTGTTAATATAAAAATGTTAATAATGTTTATATCTTCAATGCTTGTGCATAGTCCAGACATGAGATTTTTTAAAGATTGTATTTGCAAACAATGCTGATTATGAAACAAAAATCTAATGCACTTACTATTTTTAGCAATTAAAATCACAAACCTTAAGTTTCATTTCTTTTTTTTTCTTTTTCTATATTATAGCGTAGCAGCAGTTTTGGGAATTTTGATCGTTTCCGGCATAATTCTGTATCAAAGCCAAATAATTCAACTGAGGTTAGTATTTTATTCTCGTCTATGAATGCCATGCAAACACATTAAGAACCTTATGAATACAGTATCACTTTTAAAAGTACAATAAGAAAAATGAATACATATTCAAATCATAGCCTTGCAACTATTTTGGTGATAAATGAAAAAACAATTATTAGTAACTTGTATCATGCTGGGAGTGAAAAAAACAAGAAGCTGAACTGGAAACTTGTTTGGAAAGGTAGATCATGAACTTCAAACAATAGTTACAATTCAAAGCAACAGCAATTCAAAATTGCTTGAGTATTTATACCATTAAACAATGCCTGTGTATGTAGTATATGATTTTACATTAGGTGCAGTTGCTAGAAATTAGGAAATGATGGAGTGACTTATTTATAAATGTGTTAAGGAAAGAATATGACTACTGAATCTCCTAGGCTTCAACAAACACTGCAATGTCTCATTGGTAGTCATTGCACATGCGTTTGCCATGAACACTTTAGAAGTAGCTTAAGAAGATCTTCCCATAAAATTAAGTTTGTATAATAATAATATCAATAATATCAATGTTTAATTGATCACTTACCATGAAGCAAGCACAATGTTAAATACTTTGCTTAGGGACCAACACTATGGCTTAGTGAGTTAAGCCTCTGCCTGCCGCGCCGGCATCCCGTGTAGGTGCTTGTTCAAGTCCCAGCTGCTCCACTTCCGACACATCTCCCTGTTGATGGCCTGGGAAAGCAGTGGAAGATGGTCCAAGTGCTTGGGCCCCTGCAGCCATGTAGGAGACCCAGAAGAAGCTCCTGGCTCCTGGCTCCTGGCTTTGGATCTGCCCAGCTACAGCTGTTGTGGCCATTTGGGTGGTGAACCAGTAGATAGAAGACCCTTATGTATCTCCTTCTCTCTCTTTGTAGCTTTGCCTCTCCAATAAGTAAATAAATCTTAAAAAAAAAAATAAAGTTGCCTACCTGAGCCATAGGAACTATTTGTATTTCTATGTTGAAGAAATATGCTTGCTTCATTGAGTGAAACTGAATTAGAGTTAATAAATGACAAAGGCACAACTCAACCTCTTCACTAACTCCAGTATGCCATTCTGTTTTGCTAACTAAGCAGGGGACACTTGTGTTAGGTCACATGAGAGGTACAGCAGTTATTTAAAATAGTACAGAGGAGAAATGTATATTGAGAAACCTGAAAATGCTGTACTTGTTTATCACTGAACTTGATTCAGTTAGATAATGGTGTCTTTTTAGCCTCTGTAGGTGTTAAATCTTATGTTTATCTTTAGATATATCTACCTATAATATTTAAAATATTTTAATTTCAGTAATGGATATACTGGACAAAAGCAATGAAAATAAAATGACATTGGGCCGGCGCCGCGGCTCACTAGGCTAATCCTCCGCCTAGCGGTGCCGGCACACCGGGTTCTAGTCCCGGTCGGGGCGCCGGATTCTGTCCCGGTTGCCCCTCTTCCAGGCCAGCCCTCTGCTGTGGCCCGGGAGTGCAGTGGAGGATGGCCCAGGTGCTTGGGCCCTGCACCCCATGGGAGACCAGGAAAAGCACCTGGCTCCTGGCTCCTGCCATCGGATCAGCGCGGTGCGCCGGCCGCATCGCGCTGGCCGCGGCGGCCATTGGAGGGTGAACCAACGGCAAAGGAAGACCTTTCTCTCTGTCTCTCTCTCTCACTGTCCACTCTGCCTGTCAAAAAAAAAAAAATGACATTTATTATTAGTTTATAAATATTTCCTTTATTATATCTGTGTAGATGTATGTATATGTAATATATTCCCTTTATCAATTTATATTATCTCTTTTTGCTCGTCTATATATTTATATATGCTTCTGAATGAGTTTATTATAACCATATGGTCTATCAACATTTACATAATTTTAAGTAATAAAGTGTTTTACTTGCACACTCAGAGGGGATGAGGGATAGGAGAGAAAGAACTTTAAATGTTTAACTCTCCATAATCATACACAGTTGCTTTCTACTGACATTTAGTTTGTAACTCTGGAGTTAACCTATGAAAGCAGGTCAGTTTCATTCAGGTTCGTTTTGTGACAGCTAGCCTAGTAATTTAAGAAAGCTTAGGGCTAATAAAGTCGTTTGCACATTTTTTAAAAATGTAGCATTCATTTGTCATTCATTCAACAAACATCCACCCTATGACAGGATTTCCATTAGGTACTCTGGAAGTGTGGTTGTAACAATGGGTGAAAAATTCTTACTTCACAAAGCCAGAGTCTAGAGGTGGAGACAGTCACCACCCCAAATAACTATATCACTAGAAATGTGACTCAGGCTATTGAGAGCAACATAGAAAAATGTTAAAATTCAAAATCTGTAGACATCATTCCTTTGAACCCTCTGTTAATAATGATAAAAAAAATAGGAGTAGGAAAATATTCCTACTCCTTAATTGACACTTAGATAATGGCAAAGATAATATCAAATTTAATAAAGCAATATACATTCTTATTTATCGTAGTCAGAAAAATAACTTTACCACGACAACCGAGAAAGTTTGAGAGAAGAGAAAAGAAAAAGGCTAACTCTAAAATTTTAACGTGCTTCCAAATTATATTTTATTCAGGGCTTTTGAATTAAGCAAAGAGTCTTTGCCTTTATAACCTTGAATGTAGAAATTAATAAAGTGCAATGAGGGCTTAAATTGGCTGTCCATTCATATTTATCATAGGCAATTTGGGGTAAGATATGAGGCAAAACATAATATTGATTAATAATGATATTAACTATGTGGCTAAACTTCCATATTAAAATCTTACAAGTTCGCTAAAGAGAAGTTTCCCATCATTTTTTATATTCAGGGAAAATCTGGCTGTTCACCTATCAGGAATGGTGAGCAGTGTTAAACCAGATGGCCCTTCAGGCTCATTTCTCACACATCTGAAGTACTAAGGATGTGTTAACCCAAATATGTCTTCCAAGAAAAAAAAATCACTGCAAAACTCTATGGATGAAGTTTCATTTATTTAAAAAATACTGAGTGCCAGTTTTGTGACTGGCCCTGTTCTAGAAGCTCAGAAGAACAAAAAAAAGTCCCTAGTCTCTTGGAGGATGCGTTCTGATGGGAGATCCAGATGGTAATCAAATGAACAGACAGATATATTGTCAGATAATGTTGATTGCTTTGAAGAGGCTCTTAATCAGGATGAACATGAAAGAAGTCTAGACACATGGGAAATGGGGTCAAGAGAAAATTTCTATTATTTTACATGACGGTGAGCTAAGACCTGAACAATGTAAGGATGGGATTTACGGATATCTAGGGGAAGCCAAATAACCAAAGCAAGTACAAATCTTGGTGATAATCTAACAAAGAGACAGCAAGGGGGCTAGAGTGGTGATGCCTTATTACAGTTGTTTTCAAATTTAAAGGGGTCTCAGAATCACTTAAGATACAAATTGTCCTCAAGTGCTGTTGTTGCCGTTGGTTTGGGCACCATATTTTGAGAACCACTGGTATAGTGAGAAAAGAAGATCCCAGAGGTAGCTAGGGATGTGTGGTAGGGAAATTTTATTTAATATTGATTCTCTATAACATCCAATTTTTATTACATAATAATACCTCATATTAATTAAATTAGATCCAATTATTTTATACCATAAGAACCTTCTAGGTTGAACACTGTATTTTATTCTGATTTACATGGGAGATATTAGCCTAACAAATAAGAGGTTTCGTAAGTACAGCAGGTGATATCTTTACTAATGGATAGAACTAGTTTGTGTTTAATGTTGCTTAAAAATGTGGGAAATGTGCATGTATACTCACCTGCCAAAATTTCAATTTCTCAGTTAATTTTATTAATTCCAACACTCAAAAGTAGCCATAAACATCTCACATTCTATTGGAAGCAAGGGGATATGTTAGTGCCTTTTTAGTGCTAACAGATGCCTTTCTCCAATAAAATATTTCCCATCTATGTAGATATCATCATGTATTATACCTGATTTTACTTCTCTCTTGTTCATCTCCGAAACAAGATGGACAAAAGTGGTTCTTCAGTGTGACTATTAAAAGTAGCCCAGAACGTCTAGAAGAATTTCGGATGTGACGCTCAGAGACTTCAGTATCACAAGTCTTACTTTCTGAGTTTGTACCACAGGTTACTAGGCTTGGTAACTTCACAGATGTGTGTTACATTTAAGTTGTTTGAAATATTGAAGGCTGTTGCACTGAATGTCTAGGACATCCATAAACTTGGAATCTTCTCTCTAACAGTGTTTTCTGATCATTGTTTTTTATTGCTTTATTTTTTTTCTTTTGCAAACAACCCTACCCCAGACACATGAAGGGGAACCTATAAATGAAAGTGGTGAACAAAATAGAACTTCAACTAATGGAGGGGGTTTGGGTAAAAAAATGAGGACAATTTCATGGACAATGAAGAAAAAAGTTGCTAAAAAGTACATCAAAGTCCTTTCTGAGGAAAAAGTAAGTTGATTATTTTAATCATTTGTATTTATTTTGTTAAGTATTTTTCTTATAATATCCAACAGATTCCTTTTCTAGAGAGCCGTTGAAGTAACCAGTGCTTTAAACAGTACTTAGACATACACATTCTCCCTCTGTCATCATGCCAGAAGTTGGGTGGAAGAAAGTATTATTTTCCCATTTTACGTAAGAAACTACAGCACAGGATGATCACACACCTAGCACAGGTAGTACCATATGTCATTTGTGTGGTAGCATCAGCACGTCATTTCCTTTTTATTGACAAATAGTAGCCTATTTCATAGGTAAAGTACATTTTATTTACCCATTCATCAACTGATGTACATTTAGGTTGTTACTACCTTTTGTCTATTATGAATAATCTTGTAAAAATTTGCATGCATGTCAAAATTCGTGGAAATCTATTTACATTTCTCTTTTTTTTAACTTTTATTTAATGAATATAAATTCCAAAGTACAGCTTATGGATTACAATGGCTTCCCCCCCATAACATCCCTCCCACCCGCAACCCTCCCCTTTCCCACTCCCTCTCCCCTTCCATTCACATCAAGATTCATTTTCGACTCTCTTTATATACAGAAGATCAGTTTAGCATACATTAAGTAAAGATTTCAACAGTTTGCTCCCACACAGAAACACAAAGTGAAAAATACTGTTTGAGTACTAGTTATAGCATTAAATCTCAATGTACAGCACACTGAGGACAAAGATCCTACATGAGGAGTAAGTGCACAGTGACTCCTGTTTTTGACTTAACAAATTGACACTCTTGCTTATGGCATCAGTAATCACCCTATTTACATTTCTCTTGGAGAGATGATACCTCTATGTTCAATTTTCCAAAGCAGCTGCATCACTTTACCGCCAGCAGTGAATTCGGGTTCAGATTTTTCCACGTCTTGCCTGTCTTTTTAGTGCTAGCCGTCCTAGCGGGTGTGAAGTGGAATCTCATTGTTGTTTTGAAGTAGATTTTCCTGATGACTAATGATGTTGAGAATATTTTTACAAGCTCATCAACCATTTGTACATCTATTTCAAGAATGCTTATTCAAATCCTTTGCCCATTTTTAATTGAGTTTATGTCATCTTGTTGTTGAGTTTCAATGTTTTTTATATATATTTCAAAAGTGTATTCTGAGAGGCCAGCACAATGGCATAGCGGGTAAAGCCACTGCCTACATTTCCAGCGTCCCATATGGGTGCTGGTTTGTGTCTCAGCTGCTCTGCTTCCAATCCAACTCTCTGCTATGGCCTGGGAAAGCAGTAGAAGATGGCCTAAGTCTTGGCTCCTTGCACCCATGTGGGAGACCTGGAAGAAGCTCCTGGCTCCTGGCTTTGAAGCGGTGCATCTCTGGCTGTTGCGGCCATCTGGGGAGTGATCCAGCAGATAGAATACCTCTCTCCTTCTCTCTCTCTCTCTCTCTCTCTCTCTCTCTCTCTCTTTCTCTCCCTCTCTCTCTCTCTGCCTCTCTGTAACTCTGCTTTTCAAATAAATGAACCTCTTAAAAAAAGTGTATTCTGATAAGTCTTTGATGAGATCTATAACTCATTTTTATTTTCACGTTCTTGGTAGTATTATTTACAGCAGAAATATTTATAATTTTCTTGTAATCCAATTTATCTATTTTTTTCTTTTGTTACCTGTGTTTTTGGTACAGTATCTAGGAAATTATTGCCCAACCCCAGGTCTTGAAGGTTTACTTTGATGTTTTCTTTGAAGTTTTATGGTCTTAGCTCTTAATTTTTGGGATATGATTTGTTTTGAATTAATTTTACTAAATGGTTTGTGAAAGGTGTCCAACTTCATTCTCTGCTATGAGTGTATCCAGTTGTCCCAATACCATTCATTAAAAAGACTGGACTTGACCATTGTATCATCTCAGCATGCTGGTTGGAAATCAATTGGCTATAAATATATGGTCATAAATGTATAGATCCCAAATATTTGGATATATTTATGTGCTCCCAAGTCTATTCCATTGATTTATACATCTTATTTTAGATTTATACATCTTTTTTAACCTACTGCTGGAAAAATTCCGTTCCCAGTGCTCTACAAAAACAGTTGTGACATCTGTGCTGTTAAATCCAATGATGATTTTTCCTTGGTCTTATTTTATTTTTCAATTGTATTTGACACAGGAGATCTCCTTACGCGTAGAACATTCCCTTTTCTCTGGCATTCGTCTGGTAATTCTTGCCATGACTTTGCTTTTATTCAACGCCTTTTAAATAGCATGTGAGGCATGATCTTAGATGCACTACTCAATCTACTTTCTCCTCTTAAGTGACCTCATCCAGACTTATGACTTTATTTTACATAATTATATCTGTGAGGTCTTCACTTATCTGCTATACTTATAGAACCAATTGCTTACATGATAAAACCTCTTATGCATCCAGCGGATTAGCTGAAAACTAACATATCCAAACCTGAAATATTGATTTTCCACACTTCTACCAAAAAAAAATTCCTGTCCAGTATTTCTAGTTAGAGTAGACAACACTGTCATAATTCTAGATGTGAGAAAGAGAAAGAGAGATACCCTAGGGATATTCTGAAGTCCTTCTTCTCTCATTTTTCACACAGATTCATCAGTATATCACATTAGTTTTCATTGCAGTGCATATCTAGAATCCCTAATTTCTGTATGCAAACTGTCCCTGCTTTAGATCAAGTAACGAAACTCTCTTACCTAGATTGCCATCATAGACACCCAATTGCATTTTTCCTTCTACTTCCCAGTTAAAATCGATCCTCTACATAAAAGCTAGAAAGAAACATGAGAAAGGGAAGTAAGGGCATATCATTACCCTGGTTAAAAGTTCATAATACCTTTACATATCATTTCCATATGATAGTGTGTTTGTTCATTCTAGTCCTCTGAGAAGCAGACTCAAGAAGGGGATAGAAACGCCAAACACTTATTGGGGGTAATTCCTGTTAAGGATTAGGAAGAGGAAGATAAAATGTGCAGGGTAATTTTTTAGACAGTATGCAAGTTTCTTATCCATAAAAGGAGAGAGAAAGAGGGTCAGGTAGGGACAATCTCAGATTTCAATACAAAGCTGAGAAACCTTTGGCCACTAGAAGAGTTTCAGATAACTCCCCCTGTATTTTGGTCATTGTTAGGAAGGAGGACTTCAATGCAAATATGCTGATGAATGCTGAGAGGCACTGGGTAGTACTGTAGTAAAGAAAGGTCCTACAGCAAGAGATCCGAGTGGTGCATTTCCCTGGCCGCAATACACAGTCTAAAATGCACTTCAGAAGGTGGCTCCACTTACTTCTCTGACTAAATTCATACTTAACACCCTCTTTTCTCTTGCTACCCTGTTTCCTCCAAACAACTCAAGCTAATTCTGAATTCAGTTATTTTGCTGTTGTTCCTTCTGCTTGGACAACTACCTCTAAAGCTTCACATCAGTTATATTTTCATATTGTTCAGCTTACCAGTTCAGAACAGGGACCTATGACAGAAAGCTCTGGAGACTAGTTCATCTAAACTAGCCAACCTTCTCCAAGTCTGGGTCTAGTAGCTAATTCTCTCATATATCCCATGTTTATTTCTATTATAGAATTTATTGTTTTTTTTTTGTTTTCATACACCTTCCCAAACATTATAATTTACATACACACACACATAGCCTAACATATTAGGATGAACTCATTAGAGCAAGGACCCTGTTATCTTGTTGACCATTATTATATCTCTAGTTCCTAGAATAGTGTTTTCTACTTGAAAGTGTTCTATAAATATGTGGTGATTGCCTGAATGGATGAATAAAGGAATGGATAAGAGCAGGAATCAAACCGAGTATATATCATATTCTGATATTCAGATGTTTTATCAATGTTTAGAAATGCGCAAAAATGAAGAATATTGAATTACATTCTGATGGATAGTAAGAAATTCATAGGCTTTGTCCAACCTATCAAAATATGGAAAACATCTGAGATGTTTTCAAGGAAATGTAATTTGTTTTAAAATTGTCTGTCTTTTCTAATTTTATGCAAGATTTGCTTTTCATTTGACTAGGTGGCAAGCATGCTATGAGATTTGTACAGCTTCTTAGATAAGCTTTGCTTTAGAATTGCAAAGTGTGCATGTTTTATTCATATCTGGTGATCTGGTAGGGTGCAAATAACTGACATGAAACAACTGTGCAGAGTTTAAGCTTGTAGTATCAGATCTCAAAGGATTAGCAATGGTGGTAAATAGACGATAAGGAGAACATGAAGAAGTAAAACTGCTCTAAGAGATGAAGCCTAGATGTCAATAAGTATAACATTTCTGATAAAATAGTCTTTATATGATAGTCAACCCAATTCTCAAAGATCAGCCATTATGATTTCAGTTGAATTCCACAATAAAGAATGTCCTAAGGAAGGTTTCCAAGTATAGGGTAAAATGTTTTACTAGAAATTGAGTTAAAGATGAATGACCACATATTTTATGCTGATGTATTACTATGTATTTTATTCCTAAACTATCAGTTGTTTGTTCAGTCAGTGCACACAGTGAATATCTCCATGGAAATCTGCTCCTTGTACTTAAGCTCTGACATGTTTTTCTAAAGGATGAGGAAGACGGAGAGGATACCCTGCCATATCGGAACAGTGACCCTGTGATCGGGACTCACACAGAGAAGATCTCCCTCAAAGCCAGTGACTCCTTGGATAGTCTTTACAGTGGCCGAAGCTCATCAAGTAAGGCTAAATGATCCAGAGGCAAGACATCCCATGTGAAATCTGGGTTAAATTAATTGAAAACAACATATTTGCCCTTTTGGGAATTATTTATTGTATTAGCAATAAGGTTCTAGCTACTTGATAATAGACATGGTGAAAATATAGGGTATATAGAATCTGTATGGAGCTGTTATTATTTTTTAAAGGACACATAATACATCAGACAGAATTAGGTACTATTTTTTTTTTTTTGACAGGCAGAGTGGACAGTGAGAGAGAGAGACAGAGAGAAAGGTCTTCCTTTTGCCGTTGGTTCACCCTCCAATGGCCGCCGCGGCTGGCGCGCTGCGGCCGGCGCACCGCGCTGATCCGATGGCAGGAGCCAGGAGCCAGGTGCTTTTCCTGGTCTCCCATGGGGTGCAGGACCCAAGCACCTGGGCCATCCTCCACTGCACTCCCTGGCCACAGCAGAGGGCTGGCCTGGAAGAGAGGCAACCGGGACAGAATCCGGCGCCCCGACCGGGACTAGAACCCGGTGTGCCGGCGCCGCTAGGCGGAGGATTAGCCTAGTGAGCCACGGCACCGGCAGAATTAGGTACTATTTTAAAGCTTTGGTCTCTAAAGCCAACAGGGCTCTTGGGAATGGGCCTCAAAAAAATCATAGATAATTAAATCTGTATCTTTAAAAATGTATGTTTGGGAGAACTAACATAATCTTGAGTAAAAGCATTTTGGAATTCCTAGAAATAGCTCAGTAAAATCCTGTTCTCTCTTAACCTCTTTCTCCTTTCCACCTCCCTCCTTTGTCTGTGCCCCCTTTTTTTCCCTCCCTGCAACTCTTTTCCCTTTATCAACTTTCCTTTCATCCTGAAGTGCTCTGAAAAGTGCAGGGCATTTTCATCAATTCCAGCATTTACTTTGTAAGTCTTGGCCAGCATTAGTGGGTAAAGAGTGAAGAAGTTTGTAAATACAAAAAGGTAGGAGTGTCACCAACTAGGTGACAGAAGGGAATCAGAAGGTAGAAACTACCCATACATCCCACACCCGGCTTCTCCTGTTGTTAGCATCTCATTAGCGAGTGGCCAACACACGTTTTCTAATGAACTTTGATTTCTTTCTAAGAAGGTATCCTCATTTATGATTTAGTCATATTACTTGCTACAACACTTAGATGAAATTACTGACACTACAGAGTGCCTTAGGACTTTTTCTGTGTAGATCATTATATATCCACCGAATCTTTGCCAGCCTTTTAAATGATTTCGCAAAGTTTATTTTCCATTTCCTTTGAAATCAACTGCTTCTGTTATTTGAAGATGGATCACATAGACCAGATGTTTCAAATATCCTGAATTTTATATCTATTTTCCCATTGGCTGTAGAACAATTATTTTGTGGGGGAAAAAAACTTATGCAGAAACATTTGCAGGATGTATTTTTGAATGTGTTAAATTCAGATTTCATTAGTATTCGTTTCTACTGGTAGTTTTAAGATTCTAAATTGTGATGCAGAATGCAGGGAGAATTTTATTAACTAGAATGTGTCATGAAAAGCTCCATTCTGGAGTGGCCGTGGAAGGGAGGAGATTGTGGTCCCTTTGACTGTCACAACTGTTTCCCTTGAGGTTTAAGATCAGAAAGGAACAAGACCACAAAACGAGGATTTGGTTTTGTTTTCAAAGCCTAGTTTTAAATCATTTCTACCTGGGACTCCAGACATTGGGATACACTTCCACCCTGCCCCACACTCACACAGGAAAAATAAGTGCCACCTTTAATGCAAGGATATATTGCTTCAAAATGGCCTTTGGAGCACAGTAGGAATGCTGGGGGAGAATTCTGGCTACAATTTTGATAAGTTGTAGGAAACCTGGTAGTATGGTGCTTTGGCCATTCCTGAACAACAGGGCACAAAGGTGAAACTATCACATTCATTGTTTCCAAGACATGTGAAAGTAATCATCTCTTTTATGCAGGTTTAAATCTATACCTTCTCCCCTCTTTGCAAGTGTCCAGTGCTTAGTACATTGTCCTAGATTGGGTCATAGAGCCCCAATTGTGAGGGTGTTTGGCTTAGTGATTGGGGAGAGTGTCCAAATTGGCAAGGAAAAGTCAGAAATGACTTAGGGGACACAATTCACTGATGAAGAGTGACTGGGAGGTGGGTGGAGGGATCCAACAATTAGAACTCCTTCTGGAAGCTGCATCCACGGTGTCACATTATTTATCGATGCTTGGCTTTGGCCAGTGGCTGATTCACTGTTAGGGGCCTGCAATGAGTACTGTTAACCTGTGCTTTCATCAGGTGGAATAACAAGCTGTTCAGATGGTACAAGTAACCGCGACAGCTTTCGACTGGACGATGATAGCCCCTACTCGGGACCATTCTGTGGCCGTGCCAGAGTGCACACGGACTTCACGCCGAGTCCCTATGACAACGACTCCCTCAAAATCAAGGTGAATGAGCCACCTTTCTGCTTTCTCTAGGGTTCACCAAGTGCTGGCTGTATGCTCTGTTTTAGGAAGTACAAGCCGTGGGAAGTGAGGGTCTGTTGTTCTGAACAGCAGAACTAAAGCAAGAATTCACACAAAACATGAAGGGTGAAGTGGGCGAGCCCTGTCTGTTCAGGCTATTAGTAATAGTTGCTCTGATGCACATAGCACAGGCTCAGTCAGGGGACGATGAGAAGGAACTGTGTACCTCTTTCTGGAAACTGAAAGCTTCGTGAGTTCTGGAAGGCCCCAGCTCTTCCAGATACTTGCTAAAGTAAACATAATGAAGCCAAAGAGAGACAAGAGAGAAGATGGAAGGACGCAGCAGTTCCAAAGTCTTAGAAACAGAGTGGGCCAGACAACTCCAGGTATTTTTAAGGTGGTTGCCAAGAGTAACCACAGGTGTTTCTCCCAATGATGTCCCTCCTGAATTGATTCTACCTACTCTTATCCTCTGTATTCATCTCCTAATATTAATGACAAATTACCACGCTCAGAGGCTTCTAACACCAACAATGTGTTATTATCTCATGGTCTGTCATACATAAGTCCAGCCATGGCTCAGTTAACTTCTTTCCTAAAAGTCTCTTCAAGCTGAACTCATTGTCAGCCAGGCTTTGACCCGCTGAGGCTTGAGTCCTTTTCCACACTCCCGGGCTCCTGGCAGAACTCAGTCCCCTTCTTTCTTGCTGAGCATCCAGGGGAAGCCTTTTCAGCCTCAGAGCTGCCAGCAAGGCCCTCTCTACAGCATGACGTTGTGTTCTTCCAGGGTCAAGTGGAAGAGAAGCTCAGCCATGCTTCAGAATCTTTCAGAGATTCTGTCTGATTAAGTAAGGTGCATCCAGATCATCTCCCTTTTCATGAACTCATCATCCATTAATTTGGTGTATTAATTAGCTTTACAAAAGGCTTTCTGTCATATAAGATAACATAGGCCTGAATGTGAAATCTGTCATTTTCACAGTCCTGCTCACACTCAGGGGAGGGACTGCACAAATAGCGAAAGACTTCATGCTAAAATATTTCACAGATGTTCACTTATTCCTTTTAGTATCACAAAATGTCATACCACAAAGGATTCAAATGATGACTGTTTCTATATGGTCAACCCTGAATGACTACTCGTAATATTTATGCCCTGTTGTGGAATGTTAATATAATTATTTCGCATTTAAAGGACTCAGCTGTTTTCTTTACCCCTTCTGTGCTACCACATCAGAATAAGTTCAGCTACAGGATGAGGAAAATATTGCTCACCCCAGCAATTTCCTTAGTCATTTCTATGAGATGCTCAAAGGTCTAAGTTCAAGTCTTTGAGACTGAAGTGCAAGTCACACATTTGAACTTTAAATGATAATAGCAAGGATGCAGAGAAAGACTATCATGTCTAGAAACTTCCTGGGGTTTCTGGATAATTTGCTCGTCTGTTGAGCTGATGCCATCTAACCTAGGATTTGATTTTCTATAATTAAATGCCGAGAGGCCTAGAGTAACACCTCACAGGGCCAGACAGGCAAATAGGCACAAGTCAGAAAGATCAAATATGTCAATCACATTGAGTTCTATCATCACAAAGTTTCTGTTTTAGATGAAAGAACCCAAATTCACAAACTGCAGGAAACAGTTTTTTAGTTGCAGAATCAATGGTTTGTTTGAGGGCAAAGAGGCAAAAATATTAGAATCCTCTCTGGGGTAGAAAGTTATGTCTCAAAGGAGTCAATGTTACTCTTAAATGTAGACATTAGAAATCAATTTTCTTTATAAAGAAATATACGCATGGGATTTTCTACTCTTGACCATAACTTGCAACTGGCAGCCTTAATTCTTAAACATAAATACAGAAAAATGACCAATTTGGGAAAGAAATGAATACTAAGATTTATTTCTGTTATCTACAAACTGCTTTAGTACAATATTGTCATTATCCTGGTTTTCTAGGGATTCTGCTTTTCCTATCTTTATTTTCATACAGTTCTCTAAAATAGGATTTATACATGTCTTTGCCTCTAGAAGGGAGACATCATAGACATTATCTGCAAAACACCAATGGGGATGTGGACAGGAATGCTGAACAACAAGGTGGGAAACTTCAAATTTATTTATGTGGATGTCATCTCTGAAGAAGAAGAAGCCCCCAGGAAAATCAAGGCCCACCGAAGGAGTAGAAGTGGGAAGCCCGAGACTCTGCCAGAGTTCTTAGAAAGGATTCACCTTCAGGTTAGAAAACTTGTGGTTTGTTTGGTGTGAGGGGTGTATGCATGAAACAATGGAGGAGAGTGGATCATTGCTTCTGCAGTGTTGTTAGAAATACCAGCCATGGAGGCAGGCGTATGGCCTGGTGGTTAAGATGCTGCTTGGGTAGCCAGTATCCATTATACAAGTGCCTGAGTTTGAACCTCACCCCTGCTCCTACTTTCAGATTCTTGTGGGTGAGTTCCCTGCGAGACAGCAGAGGGCAGCTCAAATACTTGGGTCACTGACATCCACATGGAAGACCCGGATTGAGTTCCCAGTTTCTTGCTTCAACTCCCTGGCTGCTACAAGCATTTAGGGAGTGGATTGGCAGATGGGTGCTCTCTCTCCCTCTCTCTGTCTCTCTCTCTTTTTTTGACTCTCAAATAAACAAATGAAAAATTGAAAGAAAAAAAAAACACAAGACTTACAGCAAATGAAAATCTGTTTTCCTAGAACAGCTCTTATTTCTCCTTTATTACTTATATTATGCAAGGACAGGCCTTGATATAACATCCCTTGGACTAAACCCTAATGGTACTTAGCAGTGACAGTAGAGATTAATGTTGAGAAAGTGCAGTGAAAAATGAAAAATACCTAAGAGAATAAAATGCCCACAGAAAATATCTAGATGATAATGATAAAGAGAGTACAAAGGGTAATGTCAAGTCCAGAAAAGTGAAAGAAAAATGAAAAGAAAATTGTATTTTCTGTAGAGCACAGATCAAAAATCAAGTTGAGAGAAAATAACTGAACATAAACCTTTAAAAAAAAGCTATTTTTTAGAAAGCAGTGATTATTAAACCCCACAACACAATGGTTGTGTTAAAGAAACTGTGTTGTCTACATTTAAATTCCAACTATTTTCTTGTATATTAGCAAAATTTTTATGAAATATCTTCCTTGTTAAATGGTGTGTACATATAAGATATTTAATCTCTCTCAATTTATGGCTTTGCAATCCATTTCTGAAATTAACTCAGCAGTATTTTGATGATTTTTAAAGTGCATGAAGGCAATAGTCAATTAAACTTTCTTTCATTGTGTTCTCTGAGTTAGGTATGTATGTTCCTGTTGGTGGACACAATACCTAAACCTTCCAATATGAAGGTTTAGGAACAGTTTATGGAAAATATATAATATGAAGTGTGTTTTTTGAAAAAAATTATGTATATATTTCAAAATTTCCTTGCACCAAAGTAAACATCTTTAAATTCCACTTTTCACAAACATTATTTTATTTTATTTTTTTCATGACCGTAAGGGAGGCAGACAACCATCACTTGTAAATTGCTGCCAACAGCCAGGGCTGGATCAGTCAGAAACCAGGAGCCAGGAAATCAGTCCAGGTCTGCCACATGGGAGACATGTATCCAACTGCTTGGGCCATCATCTGCCATCCCCCAAGACATATATGAGTAGGAAGCTGGAATTGGGAGGAGAGCTGGAATTGGGACTTGAAATCAGGCTCTCCAGTATGGAATGCAGATGCCCCAACTGGCATCTTAATCCCTAGACCAAATACTCACCCCCATTCTCAGTGAACATTTTTAAGTACCCTTGTATTACTATTGGTGTAACCCAAATGAGATACTCTACAGAGGAAGTACGAGTCTGAATCCTGCCTCTACCACTTGTTTCTTCTGTGATTCGTTAGATAATCAAGACCGAAGGAGTGAAGTGACTTACTGGAGAACTGGAAGTCAGATGGTTATGTCAGAATGGGAATTTGGGTGTCCTCTGTTACAATGCAGTGTTTCTCTAGGATGTACTATTTTTAAAAGAGTAGTTACTCCTCTTACTTCCCTTCCTTTTTTTTTTTTTTTTTAGTTAAAAAACAAAAGCCTGATAATATGTTTTTCCTGATTACATAAAAATGCTAGACTTCCTCTTACTCATTTTTAGTAAATAAAATAAAGATATTAAAATGACGATCAAGTGAAATGGAGGAAATTTTGAGGATGTTGAAAAAGCATTCTACTTCTCTTTGCATTTTTATACAGTTAGAAAGTACAGAGGACACAGACTTTGAAATCAGAAGTCTATATATGTCAAGTTTACATATACTGATAGATAGATACATGCAAAACATGGGTAAAATATGCATGCTGGGGAAAAGAATACCAACTACGGTATTTTTTATGTTTAATAAAAGCCTGTAAAAGCTGGGATTCCTTAGACTTATGTACTGATTTTCAACCAAAATTGTGAACTACTTTTTTGGTTGAATTTCTGTTTTAAATTCATTTTATAATATACCCCAAGAAGATAATAACATAAATGTTCTTGCAATCAAACAAGAGATGTAGATGCATAAGTAATACTGTTAATATACTCTGAGAGACATTTTATTGACAGACTTTAGGATATGCTAGCTCTGTCAGTTTAACAGAGAAGTGAAAAAATGCCACATGGGATGAATAATCCAGCTATTTAATTGACCTATGATTTAGCATTATCTTGCTAAAGGTAATTATGTCTTCTTTACATTTGTCCTTCCAAAAGATGAGGCTCAAACAATATACTCTCTTCAATACCCTCTAGTTCATATGTGGTAAGCTTATAAGTATGAAAAAAGCTCTCTTGGCACCTTTGATTTCCACATGCATTTCTGCACTTTCTTTAAGTCTAAAGAGAACTAAAAATAAAATATTGGAGTCTGACTATCTTATATAGATTTCTTCTCCCTTATAGGAATATACTTCAACACTTTTGCTTAATGGCTATGAGACCCTGGAAGATTTAAAGGATATAAAAGAGAGTCATCTCATTGAATTAAACATTGAAAGCTCGGAAGACAGGATGAGGTTCCTATCAGCTGCTGAAAATCTTCTTGATGAAGAAAGTAAGTGTGCGCATCTCCTCTCCCTCACGGACAATCACTGTTTAATGGAAACGGGAAAATCGTTGAAAACGAAATCTTAATATTGTTTACTGAACACAGTATAAAATATTCTTTCTAAAAAACAACAAATTTTCATATAAATTTGGAAACAACAACTCTGATCAAATCTATAATTAAGAATAGGAACTGTTTTCCTTATTGCACTCCTAGAAAATGGAAGAACTTTTTTGGGTACTTCATTTTGGTTCTGCAAAGCTATTAATTTACACACAAGTGGATTCTTGCATTCCCAAAGACTGAGGGAGTTAGAGACAAATATTTAGTGACAGCCTGAATCATTAGTGAGAAATGTCACACATGGCTTCTGTAGAACAACACAGAGCATGGCTGTAAGCTAATGAGCCTTCTCACCACACAGGAAAATTCATTTCATTACCATATAGTCACATCTTATATGTGTTTGTAGTGCTCTTTCAAAATGATACAATAGCTTGCAAAAATATTCAGCACTAATTTTTGTTTTCTGAGATGGTCTCTGTATTTGTAAGTATAAACTGCAGGTGGGACGATACATGCAGATTCATCTGTGGCACAATACTAGGTCCGCCAACTAGGTTTGTAAAGATAAGATAGCTCTTACTTCTGCCATTATTCATCCAGAACACCTTTCCAACTAAATTTGTTTAGGCCTCCCCAAACCTTTGCTCAGGATGTGCCAAGACTGCAAGGAGTGTTTTGTAAGGCAAAATACAAGAAGTGGACCGGGGGGGTGGGGGGGGGGGTGAGGGAAGGGTGGTCTAATTTGAAAGACCAAAAAGATTTTCAATAATCTAATCCATGCTCCTCTTTCAGATGTAATGTTAATAGTCACTTTTAACTGCCTTTTCTGAACATGTCCTTTGAGTGACATTTTGGGCTATGGTCTTTAGATTTATTATCTTGTTTAGTGTTCCCCACAGCTCTGTACATTGGAGAGTACTGTCCTAAGATTATAATAAGAACTCAAGAACATAAGTAACTCATTTAAGCTCCCGCTTAGTGAATTGTAGTTAGAAATCCAGCTCAGTATCTGTGAAGTTATGACCTTGTTCCCAACACTACAAGCAACAGAAAAGAGGAAATCTCTCTTAGGACCCAGCTTTCCTGAATGTCCATTTGTGGGCTATCCTGTCATAAACGTGCCACAAATTGGTGCCTAGCATATATGGACTATACGCTGGCTTTTTATCTAGTAGGAATCACTTTACTTTTTTAGAAACTTTTCCATACTCTATTCTTTTATGCTGTCGTGTGTTTACAAAGATCTTCATCGTTTTTCCATGAGTGCTCACAAGCATGAGTAGCAACACCAGCAGAAATGATTTCATCATTTGGCCCCGATTTTATATGTTTTCTTTAAAATTGTGGGGGCTGGGAGATTATAAAAAGAGGAGGATGGGGTCAAAGAAGCAGACAGAGACCAAACACAGCCAATTTACTCAATAGTATGAGCCAAAGCAAAACTAATGACTGTAAACAGAAGTAGCAGTATGTTTCAGGTAAATGGAGTTTCTTTCACATCTTGTCATTTCACTAAACAATGTTTGGCTAAGAAATAGTTCCTTTAGATCTCTTGTGTTGATGTTATTCAGTGTCATTGCCAATGCTTTCCAAACTAATCCAACCATGAAATACAGGAAGAGAGACCAGTGAGTATTCATGGAATGTTTGTAAATAATTGCTTTTCTTCTATCATACAATACATACAGGTCATTTGCCTATTTTACACATGAGGAAGTAACACAGAGATGAATTTTGAAGAGATCAAATAGCTAGATCAGTATCAAAGGAGGGATTCGTTTTTTAAGATTTATTTTATTTTTTGAAAGGCAGAGAGAGAGAGAGAATGAATGAATCAACCGTCCCCAAGTGGTTGCAAGAGCCAGAGTTGGAGCAGGCTGAAACCAGGATCCTGGAACTCCATCTGGGTCTCCCATGTGGGTGGCAGGGCCCAAGTACTTGGGTCATGTGCTGCTGCCTTCTCAGGCACATTAGCTGAGAACTGGATCTGAAGTAGAGAAGCCAGGACTCAAACTGGTGCTCCTATGGGGTGCTAGTGTAGGCAGCAACTTAACTCACTGTACCTCAGTGCATGGCCCCAGAGGTGGGATGTTAATCAAAGGAAGTTGACTCGAAAGCTCTTATATTCTCTCTTCTCTGCATGCAAACATGAGAACAATGAATATTGGAAAACTGGCCTTCTGCTCTTTGACTAGTTTCCTCAAGGGCTTCAGTTTAGTTTTCCTTCTCGGAGTGTGGAAGTTTAATATTTCAGTAAGAACAAAAACCAGGCCACAGCACGGCTCCCTGAAGGGTGAGAGGCCACCCTAGCTGCCTCTCACAAAGTTTGTGATGAGAAAGGGGCAAAGCCTCAGCAACCATTGCCATCAGGGGTAAAATAGTGTTCAGCTGAAGACCCCAGAGGGCGCACGGGTCCAGGGCCAAAGGCTTGTGTCCACTTGATTTTTTTCATACTGCCTCCCTCTTCTCCTGTCTGTTTTCTATGCTAACAAAACAATGACCATGTATAGATGATATAATATGAGTGCTGGTATATTTTAATTATCACCTGACCCAGGGCCAGCATTGTGATGTTGCCTAAGACACCGGCATCCCATATGGCACCTGTTCATGTCCCAGCTGCTCCACTTCTGGTCCAGCTCCCTGCTAATGGCTGAGAAAAGTGGGGGGAAGATGACCTCAAGTGTTGGGTCCCTGCAACCCACCTGGGAGACCCAGATGAAGTTCTTGACTCCTGGCTTTCGCATGACCCAGCCCTGGCTATTGTGGCTATCTGGGAAGTGAACCAGCAGATGGACAATCTCTCTCTTCCTTTTACTCCCCCTGTCTCTGTAACTCTGAGTTTCAAATAAATAAATCTTAAAAAAAAAGATTTGACCTAAACTTTTCCTTTGCAAGATGGGAAAATTAAAACTGGCGTATCTGAGTGGCTATCTCAGGCTCATGTATCTCCTAAGTCTATTAGAAACTTGTTCCGTTATATCCTGATCTCTGAAAACAAACCACAATTATTTGCATAGCATGAGGTGACTTTCAATGCTTGATACTTAAAAGGACAGGTCTCAAAAATTATTCCCTTACATAAAACTTTAGAAAATGATACCCGAAGGTCACTAGAAGTTGATCACTTAATAATAGCCAGTGCTGTACAAACACGCACACATACACACACACGCACACACACATACATACTCATACACAATAACTTCTAGGAGATGAAAAATGGGGAAAATGCAGATTCCACAAGTGTTTCTTGTCAACACCCAAGCCTGAGATTTTTCCTTATTTTAATCTTAGGGTTTAAAGTAGTATGAGAATATACATGTCAAAAAGATGCATATTGCATGTTAGGCTATGCTGACTGAAAGCTATTTATCTTATATGAAACTGCTTTGCTCAAGAAATAAAGAAGAATGACTTCCATTTGTTGATAAGATGGTGAGTTCTGATGATTTGGCACCATGCTGCCGCATGCTTATTTTTATCTATTCTCTACTCCGTGAATCATATCTTCTACAACCATGCTGAAGATTAAATGCACAACCTTCATGTACATTGAATGATAAAGACCTTGACTATCTGGTTATAGGAAACTAAGATGTTAGAACTGAATGCATGTCACAATCATAGGTTAGAAATAGTCAGCATTTTTTTGAAGAATAGGTTATGCAAATTTGCCAGGACTTCATGTATGCATTTTGTTATAACCACAGAATAATGTCAAGTTGGGGAAGCTTAATCAATTCTTAGGTTAGGGTTTTGCTGTTTTCCAGCTTGGGAACTTGGAAAGTTTTGCTTTGCTAATCATTCAGTATAAAACTTGAGCTAATCAGGCAACATCTTGAGGATGACCTAAAATTTTGAAATAATTTAGAAATACCACAACTCTCATGGGAACCTTTTATGTGTTCAGGGGCACCAAGAGCTTGGAGGATGAGACAGGGAACAACACAACAGTACAATATTTACAGCAAGCAGTTTTCCTTTCCTCTTAGTCCAAGACAGATAGTGTCCCCACTTTGACCTTGTAAATATTAACCAGATTAAAATTTTTAGGTCACTGCTGGACAGGATATAAGGATGCTTCTCCGACAAGCTGATAGAAGCATTGGTGAGGAGTGTTCGAGCAGATCACAGGGCTACTTCTGGAGGGGGATAATGAATTGGGGGTTCTACAATCCCAACAAGACCAGACAGATTCAGAATTTTCTCCTGTCTTGCATGAGAGCTGAGCAGAAGGAGGTCATTGGCTCCCTCAACTGGGAATCTAGGTAAAGTTCCAGGGGAAAAAAAATTAGGGTGAGACTCAGCTCTTGAAGGAGCAGGAGAGCAGAATCAGTTTTTGTTGTGATCATAAGAGAATCAGTATCATTTGAATTTAAAAATGGTTTGTTTGCTCTGGGAGGAAGTATTCCCAGCAAGTAAAAAGAAAATAGTATGTGTGTGTATATGTTTGTTGTTCCATAAACACAACTTCAAATCCCTCTTGCCTAACTCAGAAGTGAATGCGTAGAATAACAAGATAGTTGAATACTGTTTACAGTAAATATTTTCTTTATTCTTCTTTTATTCCTTCTTTGCCACGTTTAGAAACATTTATATCTACAAGACTGTGTACTGCTGTCCTTGGGGACAATGAGTGAAGGGACTGTCTTACTTTCCCTCAAATGTAGGGATAATTAAATTTGAAACTGAAACAAAAATTAAGTAACAGAATAATCAAACTACCGAATCTGTATACAATGTATTTTAGGTACCTTCGAACTCCAGTTGCAGTGCCAGAGGAGGAGGAAGGGGAAGGGTGGGTTGTATGCCAGGTCATTGGCACCAGCTGTGGTCACAGCAGTCCCTCACTGCTCAATCATTCCCAATTGTGCCTTCTTGCCTGTCTGCTTGCCCAAATCCACACAGGGCAAATGACATGGCTCAGCCAGGAGTCT